AATTATCTTTTCAACTTCGAAGACTTCGGCAGTTCAATGCCAAGCAAAAAATCATTTCACTTTTTGTTTATCAATATGTTTTCCCCGTTCTTCTTTATTGTTCCCCGGTGAATTTTGCTGGTCTACTAAAGAAAGACTTCAAAATTCTTCGTCGAGGTTTGTCGATCATCAGTGTTGTGTCTTTTATACCCGTTGATGAGCTATCTAAAAAATTATGTGAACTTCACTTGTCCGTATGTGAAACATTTGCCCAGAAAATCCTCGCTGACCCCAACCATCCTTTACATGGCAATTTATCTAAATGCTACTCTCATACGTCTACACGTTCTTCTTATCGATTATTAACCTCTCGCATTGGTCTCCACAGGAATTCCCCAGTTCCCTATCTTGCCAGAATCCTTGTAAACCGAGAGCGCGCTTCCTCAGAATTCTCAGTAACCTTAAAGGCTAAATATTTTACTTGTATCTTTCCTTCTTTGATGAGATGTGTAAATTTTTGACTGAAATGCGAACATTCTATTCTCGCAAAAGTCTATACAAATACAAATACAAATACAAAGAAATCAGGCTACTTCAAGTAACTAAAATAGGTGTCGAATTGCATACATAGCAGCAAAAAGCATTAAATAAAAGTACCCAACGAATTTTCTTACATTCATGGTGAACAGGGATGACCGGGAAGCAATTTTATTTTGTGGCATATGTTTGTCGCTTGAGGCTTCGCCACTGGTTCCAAAAGTATCTCTATTTGAAAAAATAAACCACATTTTTCAGAGGAAGACACCGATATATGCATATCTGGATAAAACTGAGAAGAGCAAACGGTACCTGTGCTCTTTGAACGGCACTCTGATGATAGAAACTTTTTCTGCACTCAGTCCTTTGCTTGCAGACGTACAGCAAAGTTGAAAACAATACACTGCATCTAATTATTAGTTACAAGCCGGTGTACAATGAAAATACTGTTGTCTACCATGAGCTCTATGAGTGCGTTACACTTGAGCTACTCCAGGCCTTCTATTTGAAAGTTCCTGCGGGAATGAGAGGAAAAGTAGTCATATCATTTACTTATTGTTTTTCTGCAAATACACTTGCACGGATCGATTAAGCGTAAAACAAACTAAAAATTAACATGGCCGGCCAATACACACATCAAAGTTTCTCACGGATGTCACGCAAACATAGTTTAGTACAATTTATTATCTAACGAGCACATCAAATATGCTGGGATCATGCTTACAGATGCGATAAAATTGAAAGAATACGAATGCATAAACGACATCTTCAACGACGTCAGTATCGGCTTTCTCGGCATAGATGTTTAAAGGTCCCGAAAAAGCCGAATAATGTAAATTTGGATTACCGGGCGACGCAGATTCCGAAAGTCTAAACCAACAAGATACATATGTAAATCACCGGCTTGCAAACAAGAATGGTGCCAGCACAACACTATTAATGATAGATGATAGGGGAATTTGGATGAAAACAAGTACAACAGGCTCACAAATGACCTTTATTTTGGGCTATCTCTCTTAGCGTCCGGAACCAACGGTATTCTGAATTCCTAGCCCTTTAGCTTGGAGCAGGCGTAGATAAACCATAACCGAACCATCAGAGACGGTGTTGAGCGGTTAAGTCCTCTGGAGAAAGACTATTTACACCCAACACACGACGACGAACCTCATCATCGCTCACCCGATGTTCCCATCAGACACAAGTAAACTTCAAACAAATCGGTGGTCGGATACAGAAAGTCGATTAGCATCCTCAGCTTGGAGGAGCTAGGTTTCGCAACCGTTAAGCCAAATTGAACAAGTCATGATGGTTTACATCCTTTCCTTTGGGGAAATCCACATGTCGTGGCTCGCCGAAGGTTGGCACAAGCTGCCCTAGATTTTACTATTCGTGATATGATCTCCGCCATAGCAACATCTCTAAGTGCGAATCAACTCCCGAGAAACTTGAGGATCTCAACCACTTCCAGCTGATTATCACAGAGGGTTAGTGCAGATAAAGGTTCCTGCCGGTGATGAACAAGTACTCTGTACTTGGACGGTCATAAGTGCATACTACAATTGGATACCCCAATAATCAGGCGGTTTAAAGCATTTTTGACTGTCTGTATATGCTCACCCAGAAAGGCAATGTCATCAGCATATTCTAAGGCACAACTTTGTTTTCCTGGAGGATTTTAACTTTACCGTTTGATAGCCTGGATAAAGCGTTCAGTGGAACATCCTCTATGGAAAATTCGAAGAGTAATTGGGATAGANTCCATTGGAGACCGCAAACGGTGACGAAACCAACAATACTCATACACCATAAGAATAGCTTTCAGTGCAGCACTACGTAGAATCCCATTCCACAACAGTTTCTATTGAGACCAAAAGATAACAACTATAGTCGTTGGGCTTCGTTTCTTGTTGTCGTTTGTTGTTAAATCTGTGTGGTTTATGCGTGGGTAAGGCAACTAGGCTTCTCATGTTCGCACTAGTCTGAGATCACTATTGCCGTAACCAATTCGTAGAAAGCAACACGAGCCTAGCCTGTACCGTGCAGGTCCATGTAAAAATTTGGGCAAGAGCTATAACGCATAAGGTAGTTGTGGTCAGAAGGCTTTGCAACAACCGTTGATCAAGNGTCAATTCTACTTCCCAGGTCGACGAACAACGAGATGATGAGACAAAATGAGTCATTGATGAACGAATCTGTCAGTATACGACTGGCAATCACTAAAGTAAATAACTGAACTGTTTATCGAAAGGTTTGTAACACCAGAGCATTGTTCAAATCCATAAATGTCAGTAGTCTAACTGCATTACATTAACTTTTCTCGAATAGAAACAGCGTGCAACCACTGATACCGGCACTTGTGATTTCCTTGTTAACTTTGGTATCGGTTTTCTTGAATGTTTATCGCATTGGTGATACTAGACTAACTGTGCAGATCGTTTCCTGTGATAAACCATCTTATCAGCTTTACATGAGTTCAATTAAATCTGAACGAAGTATCTCATTATTTCAGAAGTGTTTGTACAATGAAAACGTCCAGTCACTCTCATAAATGCTACCATTAGATTGTGCCAGAGTAGACAACCGGAGACAAAGAGTGTCGGGATAACACTGACCCACCTTGCTGTTATGGTGTTAGAATCTCCCAGAGTGAGTAAGACTCGTTGCATAAGATTAGTTTGCACGATTTTTACTCACTAGTTAAAATTAATCTGTAAGAAAATTATCTTAACAGTAGAGCAATCTATTCGTCATGCCCCGCACATACGAGGTGGTTTATTGATTCAACGCTACATGTCTATGGGCACAAAGACAAACGTCAGAGTCAAGCATCGTGAAGATTTTGCGTAATAACCTAAACTGCCAAGCACCAAGGCCTTCGGTGAGGAACCGAATGCTCCTTTAGCGCTCTGAGGACCTAACCGAAAAGTACGTCAAATCTTCAAGGCTCTTACGAGGGAGGAGAGTTGTGGTGATCCCCTGCTACGAGATGATCTCAGTCAAGGAACTATGCGTAGCGATTTCACGGCCGCTAATGGGAGTTTAACACTGTAGACGTATTAATTTGCTGCGGCAAATCCTAGGGTACCATTACCATAAAGACTCAAAAGCTGATTGATTTATACATTCTCGGTTAATGATCTTTTCATGTATGCACTACTTAGTCCATTTGGTTTTTCTCAACAAAATAAATGATATTTTTGATATCTTCTTGCTTCTCGGTGTGAGGAACTTACAGTAGTTAATTATATGCGCGGTCAAGATTTCGGGTATGTGAATATTTCCAGTGCTACGGTTGGACATGAGTCAGGCCCAACCCATAGGCTGTCTCATGTTAGCTGTGCCATTCTGACGATCGAGACCAAAAAAGGCAGATTTGTTTCGGTCACATTTAAGTATTCTTATAAAAAATATTTGAAAACATTCATATAGAGGAATGTTCTAATGAGATCAGTGTGATTCCCGTTGTTTGCAGCGTTTAAGTGCATATGTTCCAAGGGTTATGAACGAGACGAGTTGTATAGTGACCAAGACAATTGCATGAAAGATACTGTCACCGACCGGTATACCGAGATTGACGGTCGTTTTGTGGTTTCCTGTGGTGACGGATACTGTTTGAATAACGGATACTGTGTGTCCAAGACGATGACGGACAAACTGGAGTACAACATCAGTCGAGTCAGTGGCGTGACCAAGACCTCTGATCAGTTGGATGTAACATTAGTATGTCAGTGTCCGGTTGGATATGTCGGATCCTTTTGTGATGTAGAAGAGAATACCTGGTCCGGTGAGTTGTATTTAGACACGAATTTCGATAACTGTTCTCAAAATTCGTGAATTGGAAAGCAGCTATTAATATCAGAACATTCTACTTGAGTGTTAGATCACACAAACCTTTCGTGTTTAATTTGATCTGTGATTTTAGTGAAGTGAAAATCAAAAATTATTCGATCGATTGGATCTAATATTCATAGTGATTATTGGTTCGCATATCATCCACATTCAGTTGCAGACACTCTCAACTTACATACGATCCTTTCATCCCTCGTGAGCTAAACTATCGACAAAACGGGTAAAACTATTAGCTTCACAGACAGACCATTTCTGGTTCTGCGGGGAATGCTCCAAGCTGCCCATAATCAAATGCATAACGGATATCACAGATTGGAAAACCTATTAGCAGCCGTCGAGGACAAGGCAAAAGTACAAATTGCTTCTCTCGAAGAGAAGATAAAGACCCTCAGTTCCCAGATCACTCCAGAAAGTTCAAACTGAAGGCCGTCAAAACGTCCGAGAAGTGTCTTTAACAAAACAAATTAAGAGGTAGCGAGCATCACTTCCTCTCCAATAGCAACGAGGAAACCAACGGTCGAAGTTTCGGTACCAGTAGTCAAAGTACCGCCACCTAAATCAGTCGCAAGCTACTATATCGTCACAAACGAAAACGAGAGTAGGTGGTAACACTGTATTCACGGTAATTTGCACAAATCTCCCGGAACCCACAAGTCAATCATTGAGGTAGAGTCAACAGGAAGAGCTGAGTCGCTGGTCAGAGGTATGTGCCCGAATGGGTGTAGAAGCCAAACCGGTGGGTCTCACTCGTCTCCGGCGCCAACCGACATCACCACATATCGGAGAACCCAGGTTACTTCGTGTGACGCTGGCCAGTGAAGAAGACGTTGAAAACGTTCTTCTTTCTAGTTTTCTCATTGCAGATGGGTCCAGCAATACCAGAATTTTACCGAACAGACCTTGGACTGAGTGTGTACACCGACGGAACGATCCTAACAGTGCACGCGATTCAGACAACTTGCGGGACGATTCTCATACACGGAGTGCCACAGCTCCCCGAAACCGATGAATCTAACTGTTGAAAAAATGATTTTTACGAATGGCCATTCATTCAAGAGTTGTTAGACTACCGCAATGTCTCTACCACGGCCATTAAACGCCTTCCACCTTCTCCCAACTATTGTGGAGATGGCTCGCAAATACTGAAGGTAACCCTTGGGACACCAGAAATGGCAAACACTGTTCTCCACTCAT